GACTCTCATCATATTCTTCTCTTTTATCAGATTCTGTTCACTCATATTCCTGAAGCTGTCAACAAAACAGCAGCCGATTGGCTCGACCGAGATGCTCTATTGTTCAACGTATGTGTCTTTGTATTATGGTCGTTTGGTTTTACTCACGATCGTTTGCTAGGAAGACCTACTTCTCCCACCAAATCTCAAGTAAAACCCTAATTTCTCCACGAAATCCTTATCTAATACAATTTGTTTGACTGACTAATAACTCCATATTAATTTATCTTCTACAATTATATAGCTTGCAGTTTTTGTTGTATTATCAATCATTTTGCGGAGCAAACCTCTTGTATTGTTGGACATATTGCCCCGTCTAGCAAAGCCGCCTTATCAAACAGAGGACGCACATGACATGTTTCCGCTTACAGTTTGGACGATAGCTCAGGTTCGTTCGCGTCACATACATACTCCATGTTTTTGCTTTGTGTATTCTGGGAAAGTTACACTAAAACTTCTGTTGAAAAATATGTGGACAGATCTCCAAAGATGATATATGTGCAGGCTTGTATTCATGGTCGCGTAACTTGTTACCGCTGGTCGGTAATAAGAATAGATGCAAGCCTGAGTCACTGGATCTCGTCTTGCAGTTGATTGAGAAAATTGTGTCCCATCCAAATGCTCGGACCATAATTTTAAGAGATGCTATTAAGGACGAGGGAGAGCGGCTGATTCCAGTGTCTTCATTCGAGATCTTGATGCGTCTTACATTCCCTGATACACCTGTTAGGAAATAATGTCAAATTTCCGATAAATCAGATTTGTGGAAATGCTAAAAACACACACAATTTGTTAACGGAGTTCGGCCAATGTTGCCTACGTCTCCGGACCTGCTGCAGATCTTTTCTTATTAACCGGAAAATATTATCTGTCGTGAACAGTAACTCCGACGTGAACAGTGACTCCGTCGTGAACAGTGATTCCGACGAAATTACAAAGCTCTCAACTCACTCACCCAAACCCAATTACACTCAAAGAGAACAACTCTNTTTCACAAAGAAAAATAATTTTTCTCTCACTTTCTTTCTCTCCCACACTCACTTCTTCTTTGTTTTTGGTTTTGGATGTTGGGATGATATTTGCTCCTCTCCTTACAAGGGTATTTATAGGAGCTTAGAGGTTTGGTGGCAGCTAGNATTTGTTGACAAAACAAACATTTGGTTGGTGAGACAAAATTGTTGAATATGTGAGTCTTTGGTTGGTGTCACCTTCCACATTCTAGAACCCATTTCTAGAAAAACATGTGATCTTTTAACAATCTCCCACTTGAAGACTGATTTCAATCTGTTTTCACACCTTGATCAATACAGCAGGTCTTCTCCGCTTGTTACTCTAACAAGCCAACTGAGGTCGTACATAACCTCAGTTTCTCATAC